TGGCACTTTTCAGGTTGGCAAGAGAAGCCAGTTTGGAAACTGCACAGACTCCGCCCAGAACAAGTTTTAAAGAAAGAAAAGCAGAACATTTCCCTATCTCTCTCTCTACATCAGCAGCGAAGCATTAGCCTCTCTGCTAGAATTTCACCATCAGCCTCAACTAAAATTTCCCTTTTAAGTCTCCCAGAACCCTATCTTTAATTCAGTTAGGAAAAAAATGGTATGAAGAGTAGAAAGCCATGAGAGATGTGGGGAGGAAGAAGGTAAGGTGAGGAGGGCACGATCCAGATGGCTGGTATTGGTGGTTAACGTTTTAATACCGAGAGTCAATTTGATTTGTTTCAGAAGTTAAGAGGTAAAAAACCCCCCACGAAAAACAAACCCCCAAACCTTCTCTGTTTTTTGTAGCTAGGGTTTCTGAACAGGATTTGAGAGAGGCCACTTTGCACCAACTATAACGATACACAGTGGGATCCTGATACTTACAGCATCATATACAACAATTAATCATTTCAGCAATATGCTACAAAGGAGTATTATCACTTTGTTACTGAAAGGAGAGCTGACTCAAAGAGGACCAAGGGAGTTGCCCCAAACCACGGGGTAGTCATTAGCAGAGCTGCAGTTACAAGTTCCTGGCATCCAGGGCTATTTTCACACTCGTCTGGCAGAGTGGGCACGCAGAACGCTCCCCAGGTGGAGGTCACCTGCTCTGCACACCCCATCTCCTGATGGATGCGCACAGCCCAGGGACTCAAGCCAGAAAAATAATTTTAAGGAGAAGTAAGAGCTAGTGCTCTGCACTGGCTCACTGAGCAGCCATGCAAGCGATAGAGACAGTGCCGGGGGGCAGCGGGAGATAGGTAACATGCAACCCAATCCAACGTGCAATGACAAATGCACTCCATCTTGTTTGTGCTTATGCACTCAGAGAGGAACTTCAGATTAGTTCACTTCTCAAGCAAAAAGTGAAATGGCTCTTTTCATTTCAGCCCCAAAGCTTAACTGTGTGTTTTACAGAGCTGATTTCAGTTTCTCTTAGTTGTTTGATCAAGACTGCAGACAAAGTTACCTGCATCCTACAGAACCACACAGTTCACCATGTGAATACCCTACAGTGAAAGGTGACCTTTGTCATAAGAATAGCTTCAGAAACATTGGATAGGTCAACTGTCCATCTGCATGTTTACAGAAGCACTGATCTTACAACAGCAAGCCTGGGAAACCTAGTGCAACAGAGATGGGAAGGGGGAAGTGAGTATTCCACTTTAAAAGCAGAACCACAGAAATTTGCTCTTCATAACATGATTAGTCTTAACTTACACATAAACTTATAACTAGATCTTTGTTATGTTAGTTCAATATATTCTCTCACTTTCTGTATTCTGCCTAATATTAGCCAGCCCTGAGTTCTCCAGACATTCCTTCTAACTCACTTCATCCTTTGAAGCTGACAGTTATCTACACAGTCAGGCACTGAAGTAATTTATTCTTTCAGAAGCGTTAAGCATTTACAACTTGCAACATCAAGTTGTGCAAATATTCAAATTTTCTGGAAGAAAAAGAAAAGGAAAAAGCATTTACCTTGATGTCTACACTTATGTAGATATTTTCTCCCCCCAAAACTCCATTATTTAGAAGTTTTTCCTTATGCATGAGAGATTTCCCATTTTCCTCCCTGTACTTTCCAGGTACTTTCCAAGTACTGTGACAAAACAACCAAATAACACAAGAAAGGGAACTCAAAATACCTGTTATTTTTTTATTCAAACAAACTCTCTTACTTTGAATGCTTCTCTAAGATGTCTTCTAAGGAGACAAAAATATTCATAAGCAATGTCAAAGGAAATTAGTAATTCTAATCCAACAGTGATGCCAAAATTCTGCACGTACATGCATTAACGTAAGAAGAAACTCCACTGCACAACCAGATTAGACAGAAATCATTCTCTCACTTCACCTCAGTCTGGTCTCATCAAAACCACTTCTTATTCCCTGTAAAAAACAAGAACAGAACATCCAAAATATGGAGGGGGAAAAAAAAAGAAAAACCAACATAAACACTTCAGTGAAATGCTGTAGTTCTCAATGTATTAAGCAAGTGTTTTTCACTGCCAAGAATCATTCAAAAAGAACAACCAGAAATGTTTGCAAAACAGATTGCTACTATAAAATGCATTAACACAGCATGCCCTAGCTATTAATAACAGAATATACATCAACACACTGCTTTTCAGATGATCAATATTAATTGGCAATCTAATTTGGAACTGTTAAGACAAGTGACCTTGGAGCAGCAATCCATCAAGTCTAAGCTAACGGAAGGTGAAAGTAGGCCTGGTTACAGTTACTTCCTTGTCATTTCCTTTTCAGTATGACACAACGCTGTCTCAATGATCAAAGCCATTTTTATCTCACAGATGTACCTCTGAAAATAGATTAGGTCTTATAGAATGATTTTATGTTTCTGATCCAAATCATCAGACAGCCCCTGCAGTTCACAAGGGCCTTGGGCTCCTTGGAAGGAAGGGAGAAAGTCACAAGGAAATACAGGGAAAGGAAAGGAAAAGAATAGGCTGGGTGAGAGCTCTGGCATCCATCGTGTCTCACGATGATCTCGTGAATGTTTCATCATACAGCAGAAGGAGTGGTAGCAGGGAACAGGTTAGGAAATATCCATTAAAACTACACACACATAAGAACAAGGAACAGCTGACAATGGTGGCAAGAGTTTGAACAGGACCGTTCACTTCTTCCTGTGAGGCAGGAAGATAGGAAGTAGGACAGTGGCACCTTTCTGCCCCAGGCTGCTGGGGAAGGAACAAATGAAGCCCCTCTGAAAGCCAAGAGAAGAGAATAAGGCACAGACATTCATAGCTCCAGATTAATTTCAACCCTGAAATGGTATCACATGAAGTGAGGACACAGTCTTCTAGAGGTAAAAGATGAGAGCCAGAGGGAAGTGCTAACTTCGCTCTCTGAGAATCTCATTTCAAAGCCAATTCTATGATTTCTAGGGACCTGACTCGCTATTCGTACCTGCCTGGGGCTGGCAATAAAGCCACGGTGAGAAAAGGTGTCAATGCCTTAAGCTGCAGAAGATGCTCAAGATGCAAAGGTCCCTCAGTGGCTGTTTTATAAGATAAGGAGAGAGCAAGTAAAAAAGAAAAAAAAAAAAATCAAACTGCACAGGTTAAAGAGCACAGATTCATGAATATCCACTTTGCAGCATAGAGCAATGCTTTAAACAAAAAATCAAATGAATGAGTTACATCAATCCAGTAAGCATTAGGAGCAATGCCTTAGGAAAGCAAGCAGCTGAGTGAGTACTGAGGCACAGTCCAAGTTGTGTGCAAAAGCAGCGCACACAAAAGCACTGCATTCGCACCAGAAAAATAAAATTATTTCCAAAATCAACAGAATTTGCTAGACCAAACCAGCTTGAACACAAGCATTCATAGTTAACCTGTGTTTGACTCCACACACTGGCTGTGCATGGGCAACGGCAACACCATGGCTGTGGTCACCATCACGGTGACACGTGGTCAACACACAAGGGGATGGTAGTTCAGCTGAGCTGAACACTCTAAGAAGTCCTGAATGCAGATGTAATTATCCACTCTTGGAACACAGGTAGGCCAGTTCCAACATGTGCGAGTGAAGAAGATGGTTTACATAACAAGCAAAGTATGCATTTACATAATAGCACTGCAGACTGCCAGACCTCTCACCTGAAGAGCTATATTTTACCAGCTATGTGCACACTGTCTACTCAAAGGTGGCCTCCTGAGACATTAAATTACATATTCATAGTGCAACTCAATGGTGGTGTGAAAGGGTGTGGTTTGAATGGACAAAGAGGAAAAGGTCTGACATTGGCTGAATACTAAGAAACAAGTGAGCCTTTGATTCTTGCATACTCCATGCTGGGCTAAGAGCCACCTTAGTTTTCAATTCTTGCATGGGTAGCCACCCTCCAACTCCGCTATGCAAACAAAACTGAAATGGAAAAAAAATAAATCAAGTCTGGCTACAAGAGCTAAATCTCTGAATCAAAGGAAAAAGGCTTTTAGTCCTGATCCTCTTGTAATGACATAATGCATTCAGCTCTTTTCACTACACTTTCCAACCAACAGCCTCAAAGAACAATAGGGATTTTGAGGCCTGTGAGTTACACAAAGCGCAGGACAGCAGGAGACAAAATGAAATACATAAATGAATGAGCAGGATAAGTGACAAGTTAGATGGACTGCAAGTTGAAAAATAGTGCCTGCATCAAACTACTTCTATCTTCAGCTGTTTGTTGTTCCAGTATGGTTATTCCAACATTTCCAACTTTAAAGACACCTAGCCCTCTCCACCAGTGAAAGCATCTGGACCAGAAACTTTTTATCTTCCAGTTTCTATCTGAACCCATCTTTTTCTTTTAAATGTTGCTATTAAAAATCAGCAAACATACAGCTTCCTTCAGAACACCAGTGACAGAAAATTCTTGTTTCACACTCAGACCTAGAGGTATTAACTCATACACATTCTATCTTAATAAAAACTATCTGCTTTTGAAAATATTGCAACAGGAAAAACAAGTTTCAAAGCATAGAAGCTAAAACAGCTCAAAGATCTTTTTACTTTTCAAATATCCTGAGGGAAGGAGGGAAAATCCCAAACCTAAACAAAAAGGTTTTTACCCCACTTGTAACTTTAAGAAAGCTCTACAATGCTAAGATAGGTATAACCAATCTGCCTAAAACCCACACCTGAAAGACTGGCATTTCTATTGTCTAGACTTTGTACATCAATCCACCAGGAGAAAGGAGAGGGACAGAAGCTAGATAGAACCAAAACAATCTCTGCTCAGAGGATCAGCAACAGACAACGTACAAATAAGCACCTCAGTCATTTGCAGACTTTTGACAGGGAATGAAATAGTTGTCTCCAACCAGAATGCAAGACCAGTGAGACTGTTTCGTGTAAGATGTTTATCTTACCCTCTCTCTTACCTTATCAGACACATCTCCTTGCCCTATTCAGAATCCAGCCAGTCACAAAATTCCATCTGCAACAAAAGGAAAAGTCCATTAATACCACGCCATAACTTTACAACAAAAGACTAACAAGCAATTCAAGAAAGAAGTCAAACTTCTATTTCCATTCCAGTATAATCTGCACCCCAGGCAAATCGCCCTCCTGTCTGCAGCAATCTGGGAAACCTGGATATAAAGGTATTAATGATGTTGTAACATGTTCTGTAAGAAACATGCTCTTCCTCCTTTGGAAAGGTTAACAGAGGTGGCCAAGGCATACAGGTTGCCCTCCCGAGTCATAAATAAGTCTGCAGCATCCTCTCATTAAATTAAATGAACATCAAATTATATAATGTGCACAGTGGTAAAATGAGACCAATGGTAATGGTTAGAAATAATCACAGCAGCCTTATACATTGTGGAGACAATTTTCTGTCAGCATATCAAACCAGGGTACATTGCACCTTTTATCTGCAGGCCAAAAAACTGTCAGAACAGACTTTCTTAAATACGGCAAAGCATGCAAGACATGGATGGAACAAAGCTCTCATGCAAACTTTAAATGATGCCTACTCTGATCAAGTGCATTTAATTTTTTTTTACCACCCTTACAAACCAATCTTTCAAGGAAACAAAGTTTCTTCAGGTAAGCATAATGCAATTTAGCATACCTCAAATCCCAAAAGAGTATCACGAACAATGCTGCAACGTTAGAATTAATTGTTCAAAACTGTGATAGACTTGGGCTCCGACAGCAACAGCAAACTCTGCCATGACACAGTTAAGTAAAGGAGGCATGACCTGCAAAACTCAGCCAGTGAGCCAGAAGGGCAGACAGGAGACTTCCAGTTGAATAAAAACACCTTGAAAAGCTCAAGAGACTGCCTAGAGAGAGAAGTGTGTGCCAAGGAGCTAAAATACCACCAGACAAACCCCTCCACATGCCCTGTTAACACTTTCATTGCTCTGCCCACCAGCACCAGAACTTGTTAGTCCACTGCCAGGTTGAAAAAGATCAGAAACATGTACATGAAGTGGGACACTTCAAGAGAATAGGGATGGTGTCTTTTTAAGACTCATTTCTCAGCCCAGTTATCCGAGGGGAGATATGGCAGGAATTGAAGGACTGAAAGCTAATTATTTTCATGTTCACTTATGTTTGCTGTAATGACTCTGCAAAGAGCATTCCCATGCTGACAGCACAAACTCATGCCACCACCTCCCCACCAGCAGGACAAAAAGGTACTCAGGTCCCCAGTAAGGAGGGCTGCTGTGAGCTGGGGTCCTGAGGCTGTTCTGTGGTATACTTTCTTTTTGTTATGTGTAAATTAGCACTGGCTTGTAGAGCTAAAAAGAAACCTGTCATACACTGAACACAATTTCCTCATCTTCACTGACGCAGCTTACTCACTCCTCTTATTTCCTCTTCTCAGTTGCCATTTGCTTCATTCAGAAATACTTTTTATTCATAAGGCCACTGATCATTTTGGTTTTGGCATTACCAGAAACACCTTAACAACATCATCTCACTGAAGGTACTTTTTTGTACAGTGGAGTCTTTAGCTCTCACGACAGAAAATGTCTGAGGAATTGGAAAGCCACTGGCCAGCAGAGTATCACTGTCCTCCTATTCTCCTGCCAGCCCTGACTTTCCTCATGGCTCAACCTCTTTCTGGCTATTTTCAGACAGACTGCAACAACTGTACAAGAACAATGGGGAATTTTGTTTTATTCAAAGAGCAAATGCTTTGCAGCTTCCAATGTAAATATTTTAATTTTTATTTATATATATATATATATATATTTAATTATTTTTAACTCTCTACTGCCCTATTAGTGCTGACATTCACCCAGATCTATGGGACCAGACTCAGCACTTGATACAGAAGTACTGCACTGAACAAGGCTTGTTGACTTCAGGAAAAGCACTTTCAGAAGCAAATCAAAACCGATGGGGAATTTGCTGAGGGGACCTGGGAGGAAAATTATGAAAGCAAAATGAGTCTGCTCAATTCCTGCAGCAGGCTAAGGGCTCATACTATCTCCCATCAAGATAGCGGACCTATTTTAATAGCCAACTTGTACAAAACCACAATCTAAACTGTTTCCAAAGCAACATTATGCCCTGTGACCAGGCTACAAGGGGGAAAAAAAAAAAGTGATGACTATCTCCTTGTCTCATTCATCAGTCTGGCAGTTCCAAACCACACCAACATTGCACACCCTCCACAGAAACGCTAACACCTTCTCCTGAGTTTCCCAAATGAAGTGCTGTCGATCCTACCAATGGGAAGGGAACCGAGTCCTTTTCTGCTGTGTACTACTATTATGGCACAACAGAAGGCAGCAGTGCAGACACCAGGCCATACCACAGTGCTGCTGTGGCCCAGCAGCTGGCCCACACATCTGCAGCTCTCTCATCCACTACGCCATGTCCCTTCTCCACCTCGGACAAGAGGACACACATTGGATGTGCTGCCATTGGCAGATGGTTGGCATTCAGAATTTTACCTTATTTAAAAATAAAGTGGGACACAGATGGTGCTGTTCCTGTTCTCTTTGAGCCTGACTGGAACGTTGTATGGGAACTGCTGAGTCACGGCCTGAACCTCTGATTGATCACCTGAGGTGAGCCATGAGTCAGCCAGAGGAGCACAGGTGAAGGCAATTCACCTGTGCTACCGGAAGGGGTGGAGCCAGGCTCCACCCCTCCTGGACCTATTTAAGAGCTGGCTACCAGAGGGGAAGAATCTCTTCTGGAGATCCTCCTCTTTGATATCTTCTAGTGAGCTCAACCCAAGGGTAAGCTCTTCTACTTATTCTCTTTTGTGATCCTTGTTTGCCTTACTCTTTTGATTATATTGCAATTATAACATCTTGGTTATACAGCTTTGCCTTACTCTTTTGATTATATTGCAATTATAACATCTTGGTTATACAAACGTGAACACAGGCGTGTCTGAACAGGGAAGCTCAGCCCCATGGTGTGTTTCTGCACAGCCCCATTCAGACCCAACAGCCCCTTGAATGGCTGTGCTTCCCGTCCTCTGCCTTTCTCTGAGAGGAATCACTGCTCCTCTTGTACAGACCTCTGCACATCTGATGCCTGCTAGCAACAATTCCCATGCCATCCCCAGGGAAAATCCTTACCATATCCAGCCAAAACCACTGCATTTGTGCAGGGTGCTTGTCAGGTTTCCTAAGTGCTGTGATGCTGCCCATGACCAGCCACACCAGCAGCCTCAATCCTGCAGACCACCCCATGCCAGGTCCATGCTAGGAAGTGTGGAGGGCAGCAGGTGGACTGCCACAGCCCATAAACCCTTGACGGGGACCTACAGCCCACCCAGCTGCAGGGCCTACAAAGTGAACAAGCAGCGAGATCTCCAGACTGCAGTCCATTGAGAACAAACCTTCCAGATGCCTAGATTAGCAAATGATAACTATTAACCACTCCCCATTAGGATGGGGAGGAGAAGGATTGCCTGGTGGTTAATTGAGAGAAATACTCTAATTTGGCGGCAGCAGCAGGACACCCTGGGGACCACAACGCTATTGCTGGTTCTTCAAGGGAAACAGAAGTGCTGGAGAGGCTGGTGCTGTTGTGGAAGGAGGCAGACAGCAGCAGATGTATCACCTGCAAAGCATGCAACACCACGATACTTGCACTGGGAGGGTGCTGAAGGGCAAGGATGGAGGAATAGATGGACAGACAGATGGATCGACAGGAGCTCCCCCTCATGACAGGCCTCAAATGCATGAATGCTGGGAAAGCTCTCCTACCAACTGCCCCAGGCTTGCATCAGTCCTTCCATTCCCCAGTTTTGACTTCTCCCAGAGTACTGCCATGCTCAACTTTTTCACATACCTATTGAACCAGGGGCATACAACCAACACAGTCGTACCAACTTCTCTGCAGCCTTCACACTGGGGCAAGGAGAAATGCTCCCCAAAGGAGCAGCACATTCATAAACTCCCTATACCTATGAGATGGAAAAGAACAAGATGAATGCTAATCCTTCCTTCATGCCTCCAGCAGCAGTTTGCACTCTCCCACAGAGAGGAAGGCCGACCTGTCTGGAAAAACATAGACTAATGATGGATTGCAAACTCCCTTCTACACTGATTCCCGTACAGTAAGGAAAGTCAGCCACAGCACTGCTGGTGAAAGATCAGAGCGTTCTGAGGGGCTGCTTTTAGGCAAACAGCAGAGCTAGACTGCTCAGGATTGCATTAGTAAATATACGTGCTATGTAAAATACTCTGCTCACACACTACTTGCACCGTGCAACATTTCTTATGAGGGTTATTTTTATTGACAAAGTGCACTTTTGTCTAATTGTAGGAACATAAGCAGTCTACAAGATACAACAAGAACCACTCCATGTAAGATGTTGACAAACCTAGGACTCCTCTGCAGCCCACCTAACTTCAAACATTCATTTCCTAAATGCAAGCAGGCTAGTGACAAACACAGCAAATACAGAGCTTGGAGCAGCTGCCACCACATTTCTTGAGCAGTTCTGTATCTAAAACGTCTCTGAGCGTACAGTACTGTACATGCACCAAACCGGAGCCAGGAGGAGAAGCCCTAGGCAGGAAATCAAAGTGCATCTTAGATTAGCACAGTGCTATGCTCAGATTTGGTTTTGATTTGCAAACCTTGCTGGCATTGGCTAAGTAGCTGATTAAAGTTGTGTTGAAAAAAAAAAAAAAAAAAGTCAGAGAGCTAAAATAAATCCCCCAGCATACATGAAGTTGCCCTGGTAGCAGCCAGTACCTGTAAGACTGATGCAATATGTACCTTTTTCATCATGCTTCACAGCTCCCTGATCGTACTTCTGTATCTCTCCCTCAAGATGCAGGCAGCCAAATCCTGCACTGGAGGATGAAGCAGGGGGAGCACATAGAGAGTCCCACCACCACCTCTAAAGCACTCTGCTGCCTGCTGAGATGCCTCACAACTAACCATAGTTCAGCACCAACTTGGCTCCAAACAAATATTCAACAACATCTGGGCAGGCTTCCAGCT